GTGACACAAGAGCAGACAGGGCAATCATCAGTGAGCGACAAGCAGACGCCCTCAGCAAAACCCTCAGTCGATTCCATAGCGACCCAGACCTACTCCCACCAGGGGCACAGTGTGCATTGGCAGCTTCAAAACTAGTATGCTTTCTAGATGAAAATCATGCAGAGATACCAACAGGTGTCCACGGAGATTCACACAAAAAACAAGATTTCTTGATAGTTGGACAAGACAAATGCAGCATCCTTGGACTCATTGTTTACCCTACAGTTGTCTCTGCAGACAAAAATACTGAATTGACAGTTCTGGCAAGAGCACTTCGTCCACCATTGACTGTACCGGAAAATACTGTGGTTGCGAGAGCTTTCACCTTGCCACCACACGCCATTGGGGAAGTCATGTCAATCTTCGACGAAGAAGGGTTCCCTATGAAGGAACATGTTGAGGTACATACAACATGGGTGAAACACATAGGTCGAGATCGACCCACACTCACGTGCCAATTGACATGCGGAGACAGGACAATAGCAATCAGAGGTATGCTCGACACAGGGGCGGATGTCACAGTAATATCGTACATCTTTTGGCCACGCAATTGGAGCTTGGTCGCGCCCTTGGGTTCTCTCTCAGGCATAGGGGGAGTATCTCTGTGTCTGCAAAGTGAGAATTCCGTGGTTGTCACGGGACCAGGAGACAAGACGGCGATCATTCGTCCTTTTGTCGTCCAAAAGCCAATCACAGTCTGGGGTCGAGACCTTTTGGCACAATGGGGCGCGAAGATCAAAGTGGATTTTTAATAGGGGTCACTGCGGCACTCGCCACATTGAAGTTGACATGGAGAACAGACAGTCCAGTTTGGGTGGATCAGTGGCCCCTTGAACAGAAAAAGTTGAGTGCTTTGAAAAACCTGGTCCAAGAACAGTTGCAGAAGGGACACATCAGGCCAACAGACAGCCCTTAGAACTCTCCAGTGTTTGTCATCAAGAAAAAGCTATCAGGCAAATGGAGATTGTTACATGATCTCAGGAAGATCAATGAAGTCATAGAAGACATGGGACCACTTCAGCTGGGACTTCCACCTGCCTCGATGATTCCCAGAGACTGGCCGCTTGTGGTCATTGACCTCAAGGATTGTTTCTCCAGTATTCTGCTCCATCCAGATGATGCTCCGAGATTTGCCTTTTCAGTTCCGAGTATCAACAAGGAAACACCTCTGCAGCAGTACCATTGGGTCGTCCTTCCACAGGGACTAAAAAATTCTCCGACAATCTGTCAATGGGACGTGGCACGAGCTTTGGCACCAGCACGGAAGAAATTTCCAAAGGTGAAGATCATTCATTACATGGATGATTTGCTCATTGCAGCGTCAACACAACAGGAGCTGCAAGAGCTGTGTTGTGCAGCTGGCTCTCCTGTCACAGATTTCAGAACACCGCTGTCTCCATCAAGGAACTCCATTGCTTTAAAACTGGCTTCACCAACACCAACAATGATAATGGACATGGGCAGATTAGAGGCATTAACAATGGCTTGCCTAGTTTGGTCTAGATCAGTGATCTCTCCAGCTGTGATGATCAGCAAGATAAAATATTGCTGAAAAACATGAGAAAGCATACCGTTAGGTATTTCAACACCAGAGCTCACATAACTGAAGGCAGATAGAGCACTCCCTTATGCTAAGAAAGAAATCAAATGTTGCTGTGCATGAGACAAAACCAGAACATTAAAGAAACTTATGTTAATTCGCATTTTTCCTATGCCTAATGATTTTCACTGTGCACTTCCAATATTCTCTGTACTAGAAAAAAGAGAAAGTATTAAGTTCAATTTATAAAGAACAGTTACATCAATAGGCAAAAAGTACTAGAGACAAAAAGTACTAGACAAAATGTACTAGTAAATAAACACAGCTGCATAGGAAATTCACTGATAGGTGCTGTTTTACTGACTGGCGTTCAGAAAAGCTAGAGATATTTAATATCCCTGTGGTATAACTCAAAAAGCCTTGGTTCTTTTTTTATCGATAATTTAATTCAGGTGTGTCTAATTAGAAGCATTAGAAGTATTAGATATCCAAAACACAGCAGTGATAAATAACATGAGAGGTTCTAGAGGTAACATGAAGGGAACAAGGGCTTTTCCAGAAAGAAAGGAGTACCTCAAACCAATGTCTTAGTGTGGTAAAGTGTTTAAAATTTCTATAATTTTTCAGAAGCTGAAGATTAGTACCTGGTTTTGAAATGAGCAACTGCTGTTTTATAGCAGCTATTTACAGACTTAAAAGGAGGCAAACACAATGAAAATAAGAGAAAACTGAATTTCCAATTCCAAAGCACAGTTAACACAAATTGCTGTACCCAAATGCTGATTCTTTATTTAAATAGTTAGGTTTAAATCTGAAAGAAAAAGTAGAGATATTTAACACATTACAAGAATGAGGAATATTTCCGCAAAGTTAAAAAATACCCTCAGAAATGCAAGAAATGGGTCTCCTTAGCCCAAGTGCCTCACAGCATGGGAAATATATTTGATATACATACAAACATTAAGGAGCACCAAAATACTGACAGAGCTTGGTGATAAAACAAGTAGCACAGTATATGTCAAAATTTTCTGATTGGTCTGTCAGAATGAAATCAGCTAAAATCTATCAGTACATCCAAGTCCTTCATTCTTAAGCAAAACAAATTAAGTTTTAAAAAAACGAAGTAAAATTTTAACAGCAAACATGGCCAGAGCAGCACACAAATGAGCCCATGACCATAGAGAAGCACAGATGCCCTGCAATCAGCACACTGATTGAACAGTTCTCAGACTCCATGCCACTATGGTGGGACAGACAGTCAAGCCCTCTGGTAGCTACTTAGAGGTTTTTTCTCAACATTCTTGAGAGCAAAATTGTTCAGCACAAATCTCTATTCTATGTGCATGCCCTACAGGTAACAGAGCTTGGTAAGAGAGATTAGAGCAAGGCAACTGCTGCCTCAGTCCAACTGGCTGAACAGCCAACACAGCACCCCTGTACAACGCAACAGTAAGTACAGTGCCAGCAAACTGGGAGAGAAATAAATATCACTTGAGCAATGAAATTAATGTGTCTACTCAGTATAGGTTCATATGAGTATGTACCAAGAGAGAGCATCGACATGCTCTCTGTAGGCTGACAACAGAAGACCAAACTTGGAATTCAAGGGAAGGAAGTTAACATCAATTTACTATTCCATTCTATTCAACCATCAACATGGAAAACAGAAACATCAACCCAAAGCATATCCACAATGAAGACCTTGCACTTACTGCAGCAGTTCCTTGTTGCAGCAAGTGTGCTGCAAACCTTGCCACGTGGTTTATAATAGGAGAGAAGTTGGTTGGCCTGTAGAGTTGGATCTGCGGCAGAATTTGGTGGTAGGGCATCCGCTATTCCTTGGATCCCCACAACACGAGGACGGAAAGCTGCCACAAGAGCCCACAATTCCTCCAGTCATTATTTTATAAGCATTACTAAACAGCATAGCCAGAAGACAACTGACACAGCTGTGAACTCCTGAAGGGAAAATAAAGCAGCAGCATAACTGGAAATACAGGAAGCATGGAGATGAAAATAGTGGACAGTTGCAGAGATAGGATTTGCACATTTCTTCCCCATTCTACAATTCTTCACATTATTTTTGTGCCTTTAACATCAGAAAGTTCAGGATTTTAGCTTTTGAGCAGGCAGGGCTGATTGAGAAGGCTTAAAACTAGGTTTGAAGGGGAAGGCAATAAGACCAGACTTGGCAGACATGAGCCTAGGGCTGACATGCCAGCATCTGGGGGGTGAAATCAAAAGCCCAGCTAAAGTGCATCTATACCCTGCTAACTTTGAAGTGTGTGAGTATCACTGGAACACACCTGCACACTTACAGAGACAAGCCAGGGTTTCCTATGGTAATAAAAGCCAAAAGGGAAACAGCAGAAAATTATCTCAAAGGAATGATGAATATTCCTCCAGGAAGGCGATATAGCCAACAGCCCAGCTGAGTGCTTTACAGCAACGCAATGAGTACAAGCAACAGACAGGAGGACCTGGAAGCCATTGGTGCTCCTAGAAAGCTACAACTTTGTGCCCTTACTGAAACTTGGTGGGACATCCATGAGAACCCTGTCACTAGAGTATACAGCTATTGATGGCTACAGGCTGTCAGGAAGGAACAGGAGAGTAAGAAGAGGCGGAAGGGCTGCCCTCTATACCAAGAGGTGGACTGAGTGTGAAGAGCAGCTATGTGGGTAAAAATCAGATAGAAAGCCTGTGGGTAAAAATTAGTGACCAAGGCAACAAAGGGAACTTCATGGTTGGGGTCCACCACAGACTGCCAGATCAAGGGGAGCCTGTTGATGAAACTTTTCTGCTCCAGCTACGGGAGGCTCTTGTCCTGCTGGGGGACTTGAACTGTCCTGGCATCTGCTGGGAAAGTAGCACAGTGAGCTGTAGGCAATCCAGGAGACTCCAGGAATGCATGGAAGAAGAAAACTTCTTGACCCCCATAATCAACAGCCCTGCCAGAGAGGATGCATTACTGGATCTGCTGGTCACCAACGCAAGGCAGCAAATTGGGAACATCAAGATCAGAGGCAACCTGCACTGACTGCATTGATGAAATTGGCAGTCCTGACAAATATGGGTCAGGTAAAATTAGGCTCCTGAAGGTTAGGAAAGCAGACGCCCAGCTCTCCAGAGAGACAACCAGTGGGATCCTCTAGGATACTGCCCTCGGGGACAAGGGAGAAGAACAGACCTTGGCAGACTTTTAAGGAAGCTTTCCATAGAACACAAAAGCTAGCAATCCCAGGAGCAAGAAATCAGGCAAGGAAGGCAAGACACCACTATAGCTGAGTAGGGAACTGCTGGTCAAACTAAAGGGAAAGAAACAAATGCATAGACAGTTGAAGCTAAGACAGGTCACCCACGAAGAGTATAAAGTTCAGTTGTGTAGGGGTGGCCAAGGTGGAGCTGGAACTGAACCTGACAAAGTAGGCAAAGGGTAAAAGGAAGGGCTTCTATAGGCCCATTAACCAGAAAAGAAAAGTCAAAGGTGTTAGACCCTGATCAACAATGCCGGAAAACTGGTAACAACAGATGAGGAGGCTGAGGTACCCAATAGCTTTTTTGCCTCAGCTTTCAATGGCAAACTCTCTTTCCACACCTCTTGAGTGGATGGACAGCAGGCTGAGGACTGGAGGAGCTAAGTCCCTCCCACTGTAAGTAAAGATCAGGTGTGTGATCACCTGAGGTATCTGAATGTACTTAAGTCTGTGGGACCCATAGATGGCTTCACCAAGGGCAAGTCCTCCCTGACCAACCCAGGGGCCTTGCACAAAGGCATCGCTCAGTAGACAAGGGAGGGGACAGAGATGTCATTTATATGGACTTCTGTAAAGCCTTTGACACAGATCCCGACAACATACTTCTCTCTCAATTGGAGAGAGATGAAGCTGATGAGTGGACTGTTAGATGGATAACAAAGTGGTTGGACAGTCACATCCAGAGAGTAGTGATCAATGGCTCAGAGTCCCAATGGACGTTAGTGACAAGTGGGGTCCCTCAGGGCTCCATACTGGGACCAGTGTTGGTTAATATCTTCATTAGTACATGAAGGGAACAAGTGTACCCTCAGCCGGTTTGCAGATGACACACCTGAAGGACAGGGCCATCCAGAGAGACCTGGACAAGCCTGAGAAGTGGCCCACGGGAATCTCTGAGGTTTAACAAGGCCAGATGCTGGTGCTGCATCTGAGCTGGGTATCAGTCCCAGTATTGATCCAGAGCGGGGCAGGAACAGATCGAGAGCAGCCCTGATGAGAAGGGTTTGGGGGTGCTGGTGGATGAGAGGCTGCACACGCCCGGCCGTGTGTGCTGGCACCCAGAAACCAACCATGTCCTGGCTGCATCAAAAGAAGTGTGGGCAGCAGGTCAAGGGAGGAGATTCTGCCCCTCCAGTCCCCTCAGTTCAGGCCCCACCTGCAGTGCTGCATCCAGCTCTGGAGTCCTCAGTGCCAGACAGACACGAACCTGGTGGAGCCAGTCCAGAGGAGGCCACCAGGTTAATCAGGGGAATGGAGCACCTCTCTTAGGAGGAAAGGCTGAGAGAATTGGGTTTGTTCAGCCTGGAAAACAGGAGGCTTAGGGGTGACATAATTGCAGCCTTCCAGTTCCTAAGGGGGGCTTACAAGAAAGATGGACAGGGACTTTTATAAGAGCATGTAGTGACAGGAAAAAGACGAATGGATTCAAACAGAGTAGGTTTAGATTAGATACTTCTTTGCTATGAGGGTGGTGAGGCACTGGAACAAGTTGCCCAGAGTAGTTGTGGCTGCCCCTTGCTTGGAAGTGTTCAAGGCCAGATTGGATAGAATTCTGAGCAGCCCTGGTGTAGCAAAAGGTCTCCCTGCCCATGGCAGGGGTCTGAAACTAGATGACCTTTAATGTCCTTTCCAATTAAAACCATTCTCTGATTCTATGAAATTGCAGGAAAAATAACCTAGCAAAGATATGCTGAAGACTATGTTTACTCCTCCTTTCTACCTTGTCAATTTACCTTGTTTAATTGGTTATGTCCTAATTAGACAAGGTCAGAAGCTCTTGGGAACACTATCTTTTCATTTTCTTTGTGCAGAAGTGAGAAAACAATCCCTGATTGAAAATTCCACCATTTCTGTAACAGAAATGGCAATCTCTAAGGGGTTTTCTAATGCAAAAAGCTTTTTTCAGTTTAACCAAACTATTTTTTTAAGTCCTATTTTAGATGGTACGTACTCTTCTATGGATCCATCTAAATTGACCTATTCCTGGCTTGTATCAATGCAGCTTCATTTGTCACTGTTTACATTGTCCATCATCAGGTTTTAGCATGGTATTGCTCAAAACTGCTGCACAAAGACCCTAAAAGACCACAGATCCAGATCCCAGTGAGGCAGACAAGGCTGAACTGAGAAGAAATGCTTGGATTTTAGCACTGGATTTCTATTTCAACTTTTTGTTGGCCTAAGACCAGAGGAAAAAAACTAAGTGAAAAATGCTTGTTCAAGAACAATTCTGTGTGACAGCATGCTGAGAGATCTCAGCCCTTAAAGATCAAGATCTAGCATTGGGAGCTGCCCTTAAACACAGCAGTGTGCTGGGGTGACCCTGGCTGGATATGAGATGCCCATCAAAGCCATTTATCACCCCACTCTTCAGCTGGACAAGGGAGAGAAAATACAATAAGGCTCATGGGTCAAGATAAGGACAGGGAGATTGCTCAGCACCCACCGTCATAGGCAAACCAGATTTGACATGGGGAAATCAGATGAATTTGTTGCTAATCAAATCCGAATAGGATAAAAAAAAGGTAAAAACTAAATCTTGAAAACATCTTCCCCTTACCTCCCCTCTTCTGATGCTCAAATTCACTCCCAAATTCTCTCTCTCCTCCCCCCTCAGTGGGGTACAGCAAATGGGGTCTGTGGTCAGTTCACATATCATCTTTGCTGCTCCTTCTTCAGAGGAAAGTCTCTCCTCACTCCTCCCCTGCTCCAGCAAAGGGTCACTTCCACAGGAAACAATCCTCAATAAACTTCTCCCATACGAGTCCTCCCCACAAGCTGCAGATCTTGTGTAGGTCCCTCCAACAAGATGCATTCAGTCAGGAACAGGCTACTCCAGGGAAGGGCATCCATGGGCTGGTGGTGGGTGTTTCTTCCCCCATGGACTCCATGGGCTACAGAGGCACAGCTGTCTCACCATAGTCTTCACCAGAGCCTGCAAGGGAATCTCTGCTTGAGTGCTTGGAACACTTTCTCCTCCTTCTTATTTACCAGCCTTGGTGTCTCTAGTACTGATCCTCTAATATATTCTCACTCCTTCCCTCTGAGTGCTGTCACACAAGGTTTTTTTCCTCCTTCTTAAATCTGTTATCCCACCATCACTGATAGACTTGGTCTTTGCCAGTGATGAGTCTATCTTGGAGCTGGCTGGCATCAGCTCCATTAGATACCAGGGAAGACTCTGGCAGCTTGTCAGAGAAACCGCCCCTGTAGCTCCCACTACCAAAACATTGCCATACAAACCAAATATAACCTGAAACCACCTCCTCTGAAGAAGATGGCTATGAAGAAAAGCAAGCTTTTAAGACAAACTTGAAAAGAGAGTGGTCAAACATATCCACATTGCTGGTGGGTAAATCCTGGTTTCTAACAGCCTCAGCAGATGGTGGCTCTGGAATCTTAACAAGCACAGGCAAAGGGCTGAGCTGAATCCACTGGCACCTGTAACCCAGCAGAAGTAACCACTTTGAAGCAACAAAAATTTCAGTACCGACTGACAATCAATTAAATCTAGACCCTTTCACTGAAGGTTATGGAGCTTGCCTGCATCAACACACATCTGCTTTTGTCAGCATCAGGGTGAGAGTAAAGCTATATTTGCCCCATGTCTTGGTGCTGCGTTTGATTTCTACCAGTTGTGAAATAAACACAGCACTTCAAACATCTCCCCCACTCAGTGGCATTATTAATAAAAAGGTGTTCTCATCTTGGCAATAAGGGTTGCTGGGGTTGAAGTTCAAAGCAAACTCATGAGATACCTTGGGAAGTGGGACATTACAAACAGTTAGGGAATGCAGACATGGACAGAGCAAGGGCCCAGCATGGTGAACGCCCCACCTGCCAGCTAGGAGGAACCCGAGCTCCAAACCCAAATGCAGGAAACAGCTTGTCACTGGAAAGAAAAGGCAACAATAAAAATGAGAAAGAGTGTTGTGGTGTGTTGCAATGTCCGGTTTTAAACTTCCGGGGCCCTTCCCATG